CCTCGTTTATGCAAAAGATGAGTCATGACCTACGTTGATCAGAGAGAGGGGGTGACGGATGGCCTGGGCTTTGTGTTGGGAACGATTGCTCATGATTTCCTGGCCACTGATGCAGGGAAAGCACGCTGCTCATGGCAGCATGCTTGTTCTCTGTCCCAGGGTATTGTAAAGCAGAGCCCTGACTTTCAGTAACCCCAGCCTCCCCTTTGTGTCCTAGATGGCGGGAAACCCAGATCAGCAGGAGGATAATGTGGACGAGCAGTACCAGGAGGAGGGCGAGGAGGAGGTAGGAAGGCGGAATGCAGGGGACTGACTGTACTCACCCTCACCAACCTCAGCAGCATTGGTGTTGAGATGCCTTTTTTTTGGAAATGTTTATGGAAAGACTTGGGTCAGACAAGAAAGGGGGTTTCTAAAGTAAATAGAGCATGGCAGCGGACACGCTGGTTAGAAGGTAACGACAGCAGGAGAATAGAATCCCTTCTCCCTGGCTCTCAGACGACATCGGGCCTTCCAGGAATAGTGGACTTGGGGATAGATGGTCCCTGTAAGGCTATTTCCTGCTGATTCTGTCACTCACGAAAGAGAGAAGAGCAACGTTCTGCACATTGAGGGAGTCTGCACTAACCCGCCGCTTTCTCTATAGACATTGCACAGTGCCTGCCGCACGGGTGCCCCGCAGTGTCTGTCGGAATAGGCTTCACACCCTGCAGACATTTATAAGAAATTTATGGGCTCTGGCTCTCCTTTTAGCTTTTTCCCTCCCAAGAATTTGGTATTAATTACATTTAACAATAAAGAAAAGGAAAATTACGTAAGGAACTTAGTTGAGTAAAATGCATTTGGGTAGAAAGTCTTCACCCTTCATTTCAGTTTGCTTTTTTATTGTAAATTCCTGGCATATCGTTGTGAGGTTTAGAGCACCGTGGGGACACGTTGTGTCACTGACTGACAAGTGCTGCTGGTTGTCGCCGCTTTGTTACAGCACTTTACTGTCTGGACACCTGACGCTCTGTACTTGGGAACACGGTATGGCTGAGGCCGAGGCCCCATGGGCAGTCTCTCTCCGGACAGTGACGTGTCTCTCAGCCAGGGGCCGGGCTAATGTGTGGCTTTGGCCAAAAGGGGATGAGAGGATGGACAAGTGGCAGCCCCAACAATCCCCCTGCCCCCGGACCTGCTCAAACACCTGTGCTGCTGCCCTCAGTGCACCGTTACCCCTGAGCCCCTGCTCAGAACATCTGTCCTGCTGCCCTCAGTGCACCGTTACCCCTGAGCCCCTGCTCAGAACATCTGTCCTGCTGCCCTCAGTGCACTGTTACCCCTGAGCCCCTGCTCAGAACACCTGTCCTTCTGCTCTCAGTGCACCGTTACCTCTGAGCCCCTGCTCAGAACATCTGTCCTGCTGCCCTCTGTGCACCGTTACCCCTGAGCCCCTGCTCAGAACATCTGTCCTGCTGCCCTCAGTGCACAGTTATCCCTGAGACCCTGCTCAGAACATCTGTCCTGCTGCCTTCAGTGCACCGTTACCCCTGAGACCCTGCTCAGAACATCTGTCCTGCTGCCTTCAGTGCACCGTTACCCCTGAGACCCTGCTCAGAACATCTGTCCTGCTGCCTTCAGTGCACCGTTACCCCTGAGACCCTGCTCAGAACATCTGTCCTGCTGCCTTCAGTGCACCGTTACCCCTGAGACCCTGCTCAGAACATCTGTCCTGCTGCCTTCAGTGCACCGTTACCCCTGAGACCCTGCTCAGAACATCTGTCCTGCTGCCTTCAGTGCACCGTTACCCCTGAGACCCTGCTCAGAACATCTGTCCTGCTGCCTTCAGTGCACCGTTACCCCTGAGACCCTGCTCAGAACATCTGTCCTGCTGCCTTCAGTGCACCGTTACCCCTGAGACCCTGCTCAGAACATCTGTCCTGCTGCCCTCAGTGCACTGTTACCCCTGAGACCCTGCTCTGAACATCTGTCCTGCTGCCCTCAGTGCACAGTTACCCCTGAGACCCTGCTCAGAACATCTGTCCTGCTGCCCTCACGTACACAGTTCCCTTGACTAAGTCTCCTTTCTCATGTCTGTTCCATTTGTCACCTTTTAGAGCTAATGCTAAAATTTGGGCTTATGCCAGGAAAACAAAAGGATGTCGCTCTTTATAGCTGTTGGCAGCATACATCTCTAGTCACATGCACTCGAACTGGCTTGATCTTTTCATTCTCTCTTTTCTCCCCCTGCTGTTCATCCTGATGTGTCATATCAGAAAAGAGCATTAAAGAAACTCACAGCCTTGAATGTTAAGGCATTTGGCAAGATAGATACTATCTGGACTTCTCTTGTAACACGATGTCTGGACTAATGTTACTTTATTTCATATGGCAGATTCCAGGAATCGTTGAGGGATTAAAAGAGAAGAGATTCACCTTGGCTTCTTTTTAAAAATTCAGAGGGTAAACATAAAATTTTAATCAGTATTTACTGATGATTTTTTACTTCTATCTTATGTCAGTTAAGGTGGAGAGAGAAAACCTGTGATCCAAGAGGGATCAAGGATAGAAAGAGAAGGAAGACAGACACAAGGAGGTGGGGGGGGGTGCCCTACCTCACCCACGGCAGCCCCTTCCTCCGGCCCAGACTCTCTCCTCTGGGTGCAGAGCTGCCAGCGCCCTTGTCCTCGCCGCACCGAGCCCAGGTCCTGCTTCTCTTTGGCCAGTTCCTTGCCCAGAACTCCTGTGTTGGGCATCTGCATCCCCACTTTCTAACCCCCTCTTGCATAGGCTCCAGGTTGCCACACCCTCTCCTATAGGATGTTGCCTCGTGAACTCTGAGGAAGCCCAGTGTGCCTTTCTTCTCCCCTGGGTAACTTTCCTCTCTGCCCCTGAGCGTCCCTTGTCCAGGCTGTGTTGTCTTTTTCTCGTGGTTCCTGAGCTGATGATTATTGGATCTTCCACCTCCTTGCATCGTTCCCAGTTCTTCCCTTGAAGAGGGCAGAGAACAGTGGTTCCCAAATACCATTCAAGGACGAGTAACAGTCAGAGACAAAGATCTCAGCAGGCAGGAGCAAAATGAGAAAAATAAAGAGGATTGCAGTATGAGAGGATGCATATTGTGTTGCTTGTAAGTGACTGTGTATGTGGCACTGTTTTGGGGGCACCAGGGAAACCATAGAATACTGGGTAGTGTAGTTTGCTGTTGTCACCATCTAGCCTCAGGGTCTCCTAGCTGCCCCACCGACCCCTGGGGTGTGCGGCTCACTGCTCTCACCAGATTCCTCCGGAAGTGCATCTTGCTAGGGCAATACCTGTTCAGAGGTGCAGTCTATATCAGATTTGTGACTTGACCTCTGAGAGTAGAGAACCCCAAACCAGTGTGATTTTAGGAAATTTGCACTGTCCTCACCACCTTTTGTCTGAATGCAGTGGTGTTAGTCACCCTCCAAAGACAGAAAAATGATGGTTATTGACAGAATTCATTGTTTATTGTTTGGGATTGTTTAAGTGAAAGACATTTATATGGTGATCCCATCCTCTTGTTGCTTACTTCACAGATTTTTTATCTATTTATGAGAAAACGACGAACTATGGCATTACCCCAAAATGGACTCTGGGCGCTTTAAAATGACTTAAGTGCTCAAAAAAAATATGTAGATTGAATGACTGCTTGACAACTCTGAGTACTCAGTTTCCCCAATGTAACTGGAAATGGATTGATATGAACACTCACAAGAGAGTAAGCACAAGGTTATGTGGCGCCTTTAGTGGTGGACTGTGAGCCACCACATCATGAAGCTGCCCATCCGGCAGAAATGCTTCTGTTAAATATACTCAGCAAGCAGTGGTGCCCATCACTATGGCTGACACTGCTGAAGGCCTTTCCTTGGTCACATTCCATCCACCTGTTTGGATCCTAGCATTCTTGACTACTTACGGTTCAGCCTTCTGATTCCTTGCTTATCCCATAACATCTTTGATGTGTAAAACAAAGGCATTAATGCATCCAGGGACAGGGTCAGGGTAGCTAACCAAAACCCACTTTAGACTCAGTAGACTTGCTTTTTTAAAAAACTTAATGTTTTAAAGATTTTTAAAATTGATTTTTGGAGGGGGAGGAAGGGAGAGGGAGAGAGAGAAACATTGATCAGCTGCCTCCTGCACGCCCCCTACCAGGGATCAAGGCCTCCCCCCGGGAAATGGAACTGGCAACCTTTTGGTGCACAGAACCACACCCAACCAACTGAGCCCCACCAGCCAGGGCAGTCAACTTTGCCACATGACATAGGGACCATTTCTAAAATGCTTAAAACACCAGAGTCAGGTGAACAAAAATGAGGAATGAGGAGCAGCGTTGGGAAATCTCCAGCAAAACGTTTGCATCAGCTTTAACAGGATGCTAAAGAGGGCCTAATGTGGAAGACATAATTGGTGTGTCCACATGTAAAAAGATACTAACATTTGCTTCTGGTTATTAGTCTAAGCATATTTTAAAATTAGAAACTCTATATCATTTTTTTTTCTTTTTCAGTAATGCCGCTAAGATGAATTTGAATTACTTTGCCCCAAACATAAAGAATATATTACTAGGATAATAGGGTGTATCTATAAAATCTGAAAAATTATAAAATCTTCATTTGTGGGCTCCCTAAATTAAAGACTAATTTTATTCTGTACTTCCCTCCTCGTATTATATTGACATATGGTAAACAGCCTACATTTCTACTACATCTCAAGAGGAGAGAAGAAAGAACTCATAAAAAGGGTATTTATCATTCTAGCGAGAGACATTCTAGCCAGTATTCATGTCACTCAAGCGAGTGGCTCTTAGTCTTTGCTGTGGCTAAAAATCACCTTGGAGAGTGTGTGAAAAATACAAATACTGGGTCTGACCTTACCCTTGGAGATTTTGATCATATCTATGGTACATCCTAGAAGGCAGAGTTGTACACGAGCCCCGGCTGATGCTGATTCAGCGGCACACTATTTAGAGCCACAGTCCTAGGACAGATGGCTGCAGGTAGACTGGGAAGTCTGAACCTCCTGACACTCCTGTGCAAAATGATGTGTATCTATACCCATTTGCTAACAACTTTCTTACCAAAGTCTTAAAAGGATCCATGACGCCCCTTACCCCACACACAATAAAAAATGACAATTAAAGATTTTACCCAACCTTTTTCTTTTACAGATAAGAAATTTACAGATAATAAGAGCTTCAGAAAGGGTAGCTAAATTGTTAAAGGTCACACAGTTCGTTATTGTTAGAACCATGATTAGAACACACTGTGGTCTGATTTTAAAGGCTGCCATAATTAAGTATACCCAGCATGCAATTACCCAGGAAACTAAAATTGAGATGGCCAAGTTCTTCTTTATAGAAGTCAGTGAATACAGAATAATGACAGAATTATAAAGTCACCATTTCTGTAAGCCCTAATTAAAACAATTTATTTAAGACCAATCATCAATGGATGATATCACTAGATGAGTGGAAGTCCTGGGATTTTACCATGAAGGGATCAGGCTGTCACCATCGGGCTCACTGAACAATCTTAGCCTCACGGAAAGTGGGACTAATATTAGGTACCTCCTGATGTGATGCAAATAGGAATTCCACAGCGTCCCTCTGAAAAACCCTTGCTTTGCAAATTGAATCTGAATTCATCCAAGCCTTAAGCTAACTTGCTTTTATAAGAAATGTCAGGGTTAAAGGAATGAGTTAAGTATTGCCTTAAAGAAGCAAAGAAATCCAGAACATGGGTCTTTCTATAGAACAAGGAATCAGTAACATTGAGGAGAAAAGAGGGGAACGGCATCTAAGTGACCTGTGGCCTTTGTTTGGATGATGACTAGAACAAACCAACTGTTAAGACATTTGTAAGACAATCAGGAAAATGTAAGTGAGGACTAGACACTAGATAATACCATACAATCATTTATCAGGTGGGATTTTTTTGGTTAATATTCACTCGAGGATATTTTTCCATTGATTTTTAGAGAGAGTGGAAGGGAGAGGGAGGGATACAGAGAAACATCGATGTAAGAGAAACACCTCTTGACCGGAATCAAACCTGGGACTCTTCAGTCCGCAAGCCAACGCTCTATCCACTGAGCCAAATGGGCTAGCAGGTGTTTTAAAGGCATTATGGTTATATAAGAAAAGTCCATTGTTTTTAGAGATGTATATTGTGATGGGTAGGGGTGAAATTATCTGATGTCCAAATGTTGAAGAATAATTCATCACAAAATAAAAGCAATAGATGATGCAAGTGTGGCAACATTGTGATGACTTTTGAACCTTGATGATGACTATTAATAGTTCATGAAATTTTCTTTGCACGTGCTTGAAAATTTTTATAATAAAAACAAATGACCTCATTGTTTATGCAGCCAGGAGAGTTTCGGAACCAAGGTTTTTGTCCAGGTTTGTCTGACTCCACAGTCTGTGTTAGAGGTTGGCAAACTACTGGCCTCAGCCTGTTTTATAAATGAGGTCTTATAGGAACACAGCCTTGTTTTTTATTTGCTTATTGTCAGAGGCTGCCTCTGCACTACACTGGTAGAGCTGGGTAGTTGCTACACTGTATGGCCGAGAAAGCTGAATATTTACTCTCTGGACCTTTACGGAAAAAGTGTGCCAACCCTGATTTACATATTCTTTCCACCATAATGTAGTTTCCTCCCAATCCCAACTAAGCCATGTTATTTTTCACTAGTATATTTTCATTATTATGGCTATAGAAGACATATATCTAATCACTGAAATTGACCAGGACATTTTAGCAATTTAACGATGTTTCAATTAGTGAGACCTTAATGTAATCTGAAATAAGTGCTTCATCGTTTTCATCCCATTGTCCTGGGGAATGTTGTTATGAGGTTCTGTGACTAAGGGCAGAACAATGTCAGGGACCATCGATAGAGCCTGCTGGTGCAATGTGTATCTTCTCTCTAGCTCACCCCACCAAGACATGTGACTATAAAAGATGTTTTATGCCTCTGACCCCACAATAAATTTATTTTGTACCAGTGTGAATCCAGATGGTGTTAGGCTGGTAAGAAAGGTTCATGAAGGCTGAACTCTGTCTAGGGCAGTGGTCGGCAAACTGCGTCTCATGAGCCACATGCGACTCTTTGGCCCCTTGAGTGTGGCTCTTCCACAAAATACCACGTGCGGGCGCGCATGTACAGTGCGATTGAAACTTCGTGGTTCATGCGCAGAAGTTGGTATTTTGTGGAAGAGCCACACTCAAGGGGCCAAAGAGCCGCATGTGGCTCGCGAGCCGCACTTTGCCGACCACTGGTCTAGGGCATCCTTGAAGAGTCATCTTTGTAGGCTCATAACAGACCAGTTTCACGCCAAAGCTTGGCTGGTAGGTTGGGGTTTACTCCTGTTGCACCTGGGCTAAGCACCTTGGGACAGCCCTTACTTTCTTGCTCATTTCTGGGATTTTGAACACATCCCCCCTCTACACCAAAAGAAATATTTTTAAAAATCAGGTCATGTTATTTGTTATTCTAGAAGACTCACTCTATAACACTGTCCTTGGAGAGGTTGGGTTTTCTTTTGGTACCAGGACAGAACAGGATGCTTAATTGATGATCAGCAATTTTTTGAAATGTATTCACATTATTCAAACCTTTTGGCATACATATGGGTTTCGAAATAGTTGTCAGAAAATATTTTCTAACACATTTTCCAACTCCTATATTTTGTGGAATGTGATCATTAAATAGATATTATTTAGCAAAAAATATATGGATGATTTCTTTGATGTGCATTTTGAAAAACAATGGGGATCAATGACATGACATAGTGGTGATAGTGTACATTACAGGAAACTATGTAAAACAGAAGTGTCATGTTAGAACACTGAAGAGATATAGGGATTTGAGGCAGTTTAATAGCTATTTTATGAAGAAATTGAAATTATTGTGTTCTGTGATCTATATATTTTAGACAGAAAAGTTTGTTCTTAATTATAGAAAAATTTCTCCTATCTTATATGTAAGTCATAAGGTCTGTTTTCTGTGCCTCTACAGAGCAGATATTTTTGCATTGATTCATTTATCCATTCATTCAACAGCATTTATTAAGCAATTACAGTGTGCCAGGTATGCATCTAGGTACAGAAGACAGTTGAGTAAGATTTTTTTTATAGTAGGTATATTATACACTTCTTCATAGGTAATAGACAAGTCAAATCTTTGACTTTTATCTTTTTTCAAATTTAGTTTTAGTTTAATTTTGTTGCTGCTGCTTTAAATGAACTCTTTAGAAATCAGAACATGTTGTTTCAAGTGCTTAAGTGATAAAAGCGTCACCCAGTATCTTGGATTTGTTTTAGGTGCAGGAAGATTTGACTGAAGAGAAAAAAAGGGAATTGGAACATAATGCAGAAGAGACCTATGGTGAAAACGATGAAAATGTACGTGTAGGATGTGCATTTCTATTGCGCATGTTTGCACATGTGTAGGAGATACATGTATATATAGTTGGATAGATACCAGTCAGTACGTCTAAGGTGCCACAGAGTTTAACAGGCTAACCTGGGCCCAGGAAAATTTGTGACAATATGAAGATTAAGAAAGACTATAGCACTGTTGCTTCTTGGAACATTTTTCTTCACTTATTTCCTTCTTCCAAAAATGAGTAACTTCTCACCATTTTTAAATTTATTTATTTATTAATCCGCATCTAAGGATATTTTTTCCATTGATTTTTAGACAGAGTGGAAGGGAGGGGGAGAGACACAGAGAGAGAAACATCGATGTGAGAAAGACACATCGATTGGTTGCTTCCTATTACACGCTCTGACCAGGGCGGGGATCGAGCCTGCAAATGAGGTACATGCCCTTGACCGGAATTGAACCCAGACCCTACAGTCTGCAGGCTGATGCTTATCCACTGAGCCAAACTGGCTAGAGCATCACCTTTTTTTTTTTTTTTTTTAAAAAGAGGGAATTATTTATCTTATTAACTCTATGCCCTATCTCTTAGGTGTTGTTTTTTTTTTCTTTTCATTTTAAGGCTGATGAGAAAAACAATGATGGAGAGGAACAAGAAGTTCGAGATGACAACCACCCCAAAGGCCGAGAGGAACATTATGAGGAGGAGGAGGAGGAGGAGGAGGACGGGGCGGCTGGTGCTGAGAAATCCCAGCAAAGAGCTGAAATGTAGCTGCGCCCCCCCCCCCATTTCTTAGCGCTCGGCGGACAGATTCCTTCAGAAGCTGCTCAGAAATAACCTGCCTACTGAACTCTAGGGTATTTAATTGCAGAAATTAAGAATTTAGACTTTTTTTAAACTTTTGTATTAGAAATGCACATACATTTATATAAATATATTTTAATAACCTAGGTTAGAGCTTCTTTTATATTCAAGCTAAACCCAAGCAAGAAAGAAAAATTTAGGCTCCGAATCTCTTTCTGTTTCCCAATGATTATGTGATGTTGGAAAGGACATCAATTTTGTATATGTTTCAACGTGTTACTTTTCTATCTCCTAGTTCCCACGTGTTGTATGCTGTTTGCCTTTGATAAAATACAGGATTTCAAAAGAAGAAATACTGCAAAAATGCTGTTGGGAATTTACGGAGAATGGCCCGTTTACTAACTGCTCCCTTTTCGAGGTTCTAGTGTATATATAAAATCTGATAGACTTTTCACCCGTCTGTGTGTTGCTGGGATAAGATCCATGTACAGAGTGACATTGTTTTCCAGACTTGTCACATCAGTTAGAAAATTATTTGGCTTTACTTAAAATCACAGCCCTTCTTCTTGAAATGGATTAAATTTAAAAGTGAGATAGTACTAAATTCATATGACAGTATTCAAACAAGGTATGGCACCTTAGTGCATTAAGCTTTTTGAAGGGCTGACATGTTGTTTAATAACTAATTGACTGTGTATGGGTAGTGTTTTCTACATGAGCACCCTCTCTATTATTTTTCCGAAGCGACCTAGCGAAATTCTTGTTTCATTATCTAGTTCCCTACAGTCATAGATATTTCCCCTGTAAGCTCTGTGCCTCAATAAGTAATCTCTGATGACAAGTATTTATAAAGGCATACCAAAATGTATAATTGAATAGGATTATTTTTTTAAAACTATATGGTGAGGTACACATGGTGGTAGGATAGACCCTGATGACTTTTCTGCTTGCTGAGGTTGGGTCTGCATTATGCCCACAGAGAGGCATTTTAATGATGATAAATTATCAAAATTCCTTACAATAAAGAAGCTAAAAATAAAGATTCCCTTGGGATAGAAACATTTCAATCTTAAGCATAAAGATTTTTAGATATATAAAATCAGGTTATAGAATTCATGTGTGTGGTTTTGTAATAATAAAAACATTTCAATTTCTACTGTTGTATGAATGTAAATTTATTTTTTAGTAACCACACTCATGTATGGTTCTGATTGTCCCAATTGAGTGATTGCGTATATATGCCTAGGAATGTTTGTTCAGATGTATTTTGGATTTTCAGTAATCATAAATCAAATTTTACCTTTATGTATAAAAACCCTTTATGTAATGTAAAATGTATAATATTGTACATAATATTCAGAATACAATTATTTTGGTAAATTAGTTTGTATTTTTAATGTCCTGGTTGCAGTATTTAATTATTTGAAACATTGAAACTTGGTGATAGTCAATAAAGCTATAAGAAGAAAGCGATCAATCTCTTAAAGTATGTGAGTTTTTAATAGTTTTTTATTTTAAGCATTCTTTTTCCTAAAAGGAAAAATTTAAGTGGAACCAAGATACATGAATGAATTATACAATGCCTTTCCCAAACTGTTCTTTTCCGTGTCTCTTCCTCTGCTTAATTGGTGTGTGGTTTTTCCCTCCCTCTGTCCTAAAGAAAAAGCTAAGAATTTTTATTTTCTTTGAGCTAGTTCTGGGGAAGAAAAAAGAAACAGAGAAACATATGAGTGTCGTGTGTGCATGCACACACACATAATAAACAACAACAAAACCCTGTCATATCCCCGCTAAGAAGCAATAATCACAAACCATACTACTCTCAGGATGGCACAAGTTATAGGGCCATTTTAGCTAATGTTTGGAAGAGAACTAATCAGCCAGAGTTAATCTGCATTAATGAGATGAGCAGAAATAAATTGTCACTTGTATTTATCTTGCCAATAAATCTGTGATTTCTGGTGCAACCAATAAGTCAAAGGACTTGGTACCAGTAATCTAATCGGGGGGGAGGGGGCACTTTTATTAGGGGCAAGTACAGTGGGGCCTTGACTTACGAGTGTCCCGACTAACGAGTTTTTCGAGATAGGAGCCATCGGCCGATTTTATGAGGAGGAGGAGGAGGAGGAGGAGGACGGGGCGGCTGGTGCTGAGAAATCCCAGCAAAGAGCTGAAATGTAGCTGCGCCCCCCCCCCCATTTCTTAGCGCTCGGCGGACAGATTCCTTCAGAAGCTGCTCAGAAATAACCTGCCTACTGAACTCTAGGGTATTTAATTGCAGAAATTAAGAATTTAGACTTTTTTTAAACTTTTGTATTAGAAATGCACATACATTTATATAAATATATTTTAATAACCTAGGTTAGAGCTTCTTTTATATTCAAGCTAAACCCAAGCAAGAAAGAAAAATTTAGGCTCCGAATCTCTTTCTGTTTCCCAATGATTATGTGATGTTGGAAAGGACATCAATTTTGTATATGTTTCAACGTGTTACTTTTCTATCTCCTAGTTCCCACGTGTTGTATGCTGTTTGCCTTTGATAAAATACAGGATTTCAAAAGAAGAAATACTGCAAAAATGCTGTTGGGAATTTACAGAGAATGGCCCGTTTACTAACTGCTCCCTTTTCGAGGTTCTAGTGTATATATAAAATCTGATAGACTTTCCACCCGTCTGTGTGTTGCTGGGATAAGATCCATGTACAGAGTGACATTGTTTTCCAGACTTGTCACATCAGTTAGAAAATTATTTGGCTTTACTTAAAATCACAGCCCTTCTTCTTGAAATGGATTAAATTTAAAAGTGAGATAGTACTAAATTCATATGACAGTATTCAAACAAGGTATGGCACCTTAGTGTATTAAGCTTTTTGAAGGACTGACATGTTGTTTAATAACTAATTGACTGTGTATGGGTAGTGTTTTCTACATGAGCACCCTCTCTATTATTTTTCCGAAGCGACCTAGCGAAATTCTTGTTTCATTATCTAGTTCCCTACAGTCATAGATATTTCCCCTGTAAGCTCTGTGCCTCAATAAGTAATCTCTGATGACAAGTATTTATAAAGGCATACCAAAATGTATAATTGAATAGGATTATTTTTTTAAAACTATATGGTGAGGTACACATGGTGGTAGGATAGACCTTGATGACTATTCTGCTTGCTGAGGTTGGGTCTGCATTATGCCCACAGAGAGGCATTTTAATGATGATAAATTATAAAAATTCCTTACAATAAAGAAGCTAAAAATAAAGATTCCCTTGGGATAGAAACATTTCAATCTTAAGCATAAAGATTTTTAGATATATAAAATCAGGTTATAGAATTCATGTGTGTGGTTTTGTAATAATAAAAACATTTCAATTTCTACTGTTGTATGAATGTAAATTTATTTTTTAGTAACCACACTCATGTATGGTTCTGATTGTCCCAATTGAGTGATTGCGTATATATGCCTAGGAATGTTTGTTCAGATGTATTTTGGATTTTCAGTAATCATAAATCAAATTTTACCTTTATGTATAAAAACCCTTTATGTAATGTAAAATGTATAATATTGTACATAATATTCAGAATACAATTATTTTGGTAAATTAGTTTGTATTTTTAATGTCCTGGTTGCAGTATTTAATTATTTGAAACATTGAAACTTGGTGATAGTCAATAAAGCTATAAGAAGAAAGCGATCAATCTCTTAAAGTATGTGAGTTTTTAATAGTTTTTTATTTTAAGCATTCTTTTTCCTAAAAGGAAAAATTTAAGTGGAACCAAGATACATGAATGAATTATACAATGCCTTTCCCAAACTGTTATTTTCCGTGTCTCTTCCTCTGCTTAACTGGTGTGTGGTTTTTCCCTCCCTCTGTCCTAAAGAAAAAGCTAAGAATTTTTATTTTCTTTGAGCTAGTTCTGGGGAAGAAAAAAGAAACAGAGAAACATATGAGTGTCGTGTGTGCATGCACACACACATAATAAACAACAACAAAACCCTGTCATATCCCCGCTAAGAAGCAATAATCACAAACCATACTACTCTCAGAATGGCACAAGTTATAGGGCCATTTTAGCTAATGTTTGGAAGAGAACTAATCAGCCAGAGTTAATCTACATTAATGAGATGAGCAGAAATAAATTGTCACTATTATTTATCTTGCCAATAAATCTGTGATTTCTGGTGCAACCAATAAGTCAAAGGACTTGGTACCAGTAATCTAATCGGGGGGGGGGCACTTTACTAACGAGTTTTTCGAGATAGGAGCCATCGGCCGATTTTTTGCTGTGAGTTGCTAGCTAAAATTCGGGTTACGAGCCAGCTTCAGATACCCCACCGCTAGTTGGCACAGCGAACATCACAATGAACGCCACAACATCAGCCCAGCATCACGTGTCTCACTCATTCACTTTATGATTTGACATACGAATAATTTGAGTTACGAGCTCCGTCATGGAATGAATTAAACTCATAAGTCAAGGCCCCACTGTACAGTGCAGCACAAAAAAGCTACATTAGTACAAATATATTGACTGGATAGCTGTAAGAGTGATCGAAAAAGATCTAGGAGTAAGGTATGATCTGGCCACATACAAGTCACAATGACTTGCTCTATAAAGAAAAATTACTGACACTGAATGTCATAGTACCAGGACCACCGTATCCCACAGTGCTCCTTTAAGGTTGATGGAGTTCCTCCCTCCCCACCCAACTGAAGAAGTTTGTTCTGTAGGATTTGACATCATTGCTTTGGGTTTTTTGTTTTGTTTTAGTTCTTGCATTAACCTGTGGTACATCCATACCATGGCATGTTGCACAACCATTTAAAAAAAAAGTGAGGTCAGCCCTAGCTGGTTTGGCTCAGCGGATAGAGCGTCGGCCTGCGGACTCAAGGGTCCCAGGTTCGATTCTGGTCAAGGGCATGTACCTGGATTGCGGGCACATCCCCAGTAGGGGGCATGCAAGAGGCAGCTGAATTGATGTTTCTCTCTCATCGATGTTTCTAACTCGCTATCCCTCTCCCTCTCCCTTCCTCTCTGTAAAAAAATCAATAAAATATATTTTTTTAAAAAAGTGAGGTCAGTTTCCATTCCTGAATCATCTTTTGGCTTCCATCATACTACCTGTTTCTACTTTTCTTCTTACCATCCAGGCTACTCTTTCTCATTTTGTTTTTGTTTTTTGTCTTATACTCTCCTTAAAATATCTGTGTTCTTTGGGTTTTCCCTAGAGGTCTTTTCTCTGTTTAGCCCTCTTCCCACCCATGTATTAGAGACCTGATTCAGGCCCCTGTTATCTTTTACCTAGACTATTGTAATAGTCCCTAACTTCTCATTTACTTTCTCCTACCAACCTCTACAATCTGTCCTAGTGTGATCTTTCTAAAGTTACCACTAACACTACCCCATTATTGAATGATATAATAAAATTGCTATTGCACATAGGAAAAATTCCAAACTCCTTAATATAACCTACATAATTCTTCATGATCTGGCCCCATCTTACCTCTTCAGCCTTAAATTTACCATCTAAACTGAATCATAATAAATGTAACTCATCTTTGCCAAGCACATTTCTCAATGTCTTAGTGAGTGACCTTGACCCCTGTCTCTGGGTGGGAAGATAGCTTGAGCAGAGCCAATAATACTAACCATCTCCTTGGACAAAGTACTGTACTTGGTTCAAGATGGACACATGACTTAATTTCTCCCTTGGATTTTTTGTTGGAGGGGAATTCTCCATGGAGTTTCTATACAGCTGTGACAGCTGGGCTATCTTTTCAAGGATACTTGCCTAGCAACCATCCAGAAGTTAAAGCTACTGTCTCCTTCTGGGTCAGAGGACATATTTGTTCCCTCACGAGGATAAATAAAGATAATATCTCCCTTGGGGGCAAGATGGGACAGGTTTGCTAGCAGTCCTTTTATTAGAGGGTTTCCTTAGATTAGTGATCCTGGTTGGAACACAAGCTCAATGTGTGTGCAACATCCACCTTGAGTGCCTCACATTCTTCCCATGATACTTGGGGGCCAAGGGAAACTGATATGAACTTGAAACTCACATTGCCTGCTATGCCATGAGAAATATTTGTTTTTGAGCCAGCAGTTGAGAGTTTTCTATCAGCACCTATGAAACTGTGGCAGGCTAACTTGTTAGTTTGTTAATTAGGTAAAATCTCAGACTCTGCACAATTATTTACATTTTTGTGGGCTGGAGCACATGGAAAATAGGCATATCTCTTCTCTCTCCAATGGCAAAGCCATTGCATGCCAAGCACTAATACTTTGAGTAAATATGTACTAAATGAATATCTTATAATCCTCATTTGTAAAATGAGAATGCTGATTATTTACAGATCATACAATTTTGAATAAGGGGCATAGCTACAATTTCTTCCCAAGTGAATCTGATCCCAATGTTAATTCTAAATATAGCCAGAATTATTTGATCATCATTTAGTGCTATATTCGGAGTTTCATACATT